CATGTGTGTGTGTGACACCAGGAGTTACCATACTGGGTGATACCAAGTCTAATGATGCCACTGCACACACCCAGCAAATACTACTAGAAGAATCCTCAGACTTTTCTGTCAACTTAGGGGCCATACAGACAGTCCCAAAGGGGCAGCTCTGTGCTGCTCCTCGAAACGCTGGATTGGGGCTGTGGCAACAACATGCTGTGGCCTCGATCTGACTTTTTGACACTCCAAAAAGAGTTGGCAAATGCTGCTCCTTTTTGGGGTGGCAAAAAGCCACTCTTAGTGCTGCTGTTGTACTACACGCTGCCCCAATAGGATACCCTGATGCCACACACTGTACGGTGGGGCACACGGTGTGATGGCAGCAGCAGGGCAGAGTCTGGGCAGGCAGCGTGCAGTTGCCTCACCCCAACTCCATCCCCAGGCAAGCCCTTTTGGCTGGTCTGCATAGGCCCTTAGTGACCAATGACAACTCATCATTAGGGACATGATTGGGAGTGTGTCCAGTTCCACCACTCAGTGCAACTGATCTTTTAATCAGAGAGAAATCCTTTGTATTCATTTTCCATGCTGTTTCTTGCTATTTCTCTTATTTTATTGTATCTTTTAAAGTCAGTACAAGTGGCAAGACTTGCCCTCAACATTTTGATCTTACAGTGCTCAGATCTAAGAGGCAGGACAGAAAGGAAGATATTTCATTTCAGAAGAACAGATAACTCTGAAATTGATTGGAAGATGCAATTCCTCAAACAAAATATTATGGAGAAAACTTTTACATTGAGATGATGATGATGATGATGATGATTAGCAGCCATGGTCTTTGTGTGTGTTTTTTTTCCTTTTTTGATGCAATGATTTGGTCACTTAAACTGGACATAATATAACCTTGTATAAAGTATCATTATACGGTGACAATCAAGGTTTTTTTACTTTCAGTTTATATATTTGTTCTTTTACTGAGGCTGCATCCAAGTGTTCCTTTTTTCTTTGTTTGATAGATGTTTGTAAATGTGTAAAATATGTTACTTCTCTTTTCTACATTTAAATAGTTATGATAGGGGAAAAACAAACTTCAAAGAGGCAAGCAGTCTGCCAGGGACCAACCATTAGTCTGTAAAGGGATTTTTTAAAAAAAGTTTCTATTCCTTTTGAAGAACACATAGAGCCCAACAGCTATTGCCTGTGACAAGTTTCTCTGGGGAGCTGGGTGCTCCTGACTTTGAAAAAATAATTTTTATTTTATTTTTATTTTATTTTTTAAAAATCTCATAAAATTTCTGATTGATTGATTTAATAAAATGTACAATAACAACAATACAAAAAATGTCCTATATGAAAATAGCTTTTCCCACACACAAAAAGCAGTTTTCTGTCCAACCCCTCAACTTTTTTTTTT